CCAGAGCCCTTTCCACAGCAAACATTCCTGACATGCTCTGTGCACTTGGCTGTCAGGTGCCCAGTCACCTGTGGCCCCTGGAGCACATCTGTTCCCGGGAACTGGCTGCCTGGGGCTAGGAGGGCAGAGACGTCCCATTGCTTTCCCCAGCCACCCACCTCTCTGGCCCCTGGCCCAGTCTCCCTACTTTAACTCAGTGCTGCTGTAGGCAGCTGGGTAAGGTGGTGAGCAGCCCAGCTCGTGCAGCAAGGAGCTACCAATGGTGTGCACCTCTCCAGGCCTCACTGGCTTGGGGTCCTGGGGACAGGCCTAGGTTACCTTGGCCCCTTGAAGTTAGGGCTGGAGCTCACTGTAGTACAAGTGGAGGGCCTAGCCCTACCATCCCTCTGAGTCCCAGGCTCCTCCAGCCTGAACACCCACCCCCGGGGATCCTGTGAAGCCCCTGGCCCAAAGCTCCCCTGACTGGAGGCCTGAAATCCCTCCCACTGTCCTCCCAGGCCCAGTCTAGGCCTGTCTTCCTCTCTAGCCAGGTGGCTACCACCACTCAGCTGGGAAGGCTACCAGACACCAGTGGGGAAACTGAGGCCCTGAGAGCAGATGTGTACCTAGTTGGGACAACACTAATGGCCTTCTGAGGTTATCTCTTTGGACTCAGAACAAAACTGGCCCAGGAATGGCCATACCTTCACCCCACTTTGGGCCAGCCCACCATTCCAGGCAGCATTGTGAAAGTCCCAGATTTAATGACCAATTTATCTTCAAAGCATAGTTTCCTTCTTTATGATTCATCTTCTCAGGATGTTTCTGTTAGGAAAGGCTTCTATGAGAGCCTTCAATAAATGACCTAGAAAATCTGAGAGCCATCTTTAAAAGGGTCCCTCCCCTGCCTAGGGAAGTTCCCCTCTTTCCCAAGCCTCATCCCCTGAGCACCTCGTTTCTGCCCTCCCCAAGCATAGGTCAGCTCATGTTCAAGCCTCTGCAGTGTGGCAGTGGTTGTGGAGCTGGGCTTCATAGAAGGTTCTAGGCCTGGGGGTGGGGGAGGAACAAGGGGCATCTCTCCAATCACCTGAGTGGACAGTTGTCCATGGATGTCTTCTGGGTACCAATATCTCAGGGTGACATTCCAGACTTGATGGGCCCCCTCCCCCTAACTTCTTGGTACTATGAAACCCTCTGGAACTTGGACACAAGTCTAGGGAAAGGGGGATCCTAAATGGGCTCAGATTAAGTTTCTGCCACTTAAGTTTCTGCCACTCAGATTAAGTTTCTGTAATGGGGTTTTTTGGTAGACACCTAGTTCAATTCTAGAAGAAAAAAAAAGTTCACATGCTTACACTTCTGTTAGCAGACTAAAGTCCAGTCCATATTTTTAGAAGAGAATAAAAGAGAAAGGAAAAAGTCTCGAAGTTTCCACTGTGCCAGGATAAGGACTGCCTCTTTGTCATGACACACCATACCCTCCGGCCACATGGGCTCCATCCCTTACTGGTGCTCCAGCCATGTCCCCCAGACACCTCTGTACCCTGTGCCAGCACCACACACTGTTCTGCTCACCTCCAAGGCCCAGTTCAATGTCACCTCCTCCAGGAAGCCTTCCAGAGCCCCAGGAATAACAATAACTGTCACCCCCATTGGCTGAGTACTTTCCCACTGGTCCAGGGCTGAAGGCTTTACAAAGATCTCAGAGCGTCAGGACAAAGTCCCCCAGGGCAGCAGGTTGAAGCTGTCCTCTAGAGCTCACCCACTATTTGTCCAATTCAGATCACCTGGGGAAGCAGGTATCACTATCCACCTTACAGATGAGGAAGAGATGTGAAATATCTCAGGATGTGAAATAATGAGCTCAGTCACACGGCCAATAAAAGGCATGCAGGGATTTAAACCAGGTCTCTCTGAGCACCAGCCTGTGCTTTCCCATGGCCCACATGTTGCCCAGAGATCATTGGCTACCCCTCCCATGCCCAGGGCACCTGCTAACATTCTGCCTCCCCTAGAGACCTGAGCTCCTGCTCCAATATCACCTCCAGATGCCGGCCTGTGTCAGTCTTCAATGATTTTCTCATGGGAGGTTTGGAACAGCCCTTTCTGGGGCAGGAACAGCACTCAATGACCTCAAGTGAACCCTTCGAGGCTCCTGTGAGCCTGGACACCTTCCCAGCCCAGCATGACAAGTGGCATGAGTAGGCTTGGAGCTGGCCTGCAAGCCAATCTGCCTGGGCTCTCCAGACTGCCACCCAGTCTAGGGTGCCAATGCCTGGAAAGGTGCTGGCAGTTCCATCCCCGAGGGCTGGGGCCAGGGCCACTTTCCCACCTCCTCTTCCAGTCAGCCTGCCATCCTGTCCCATACCACATGGGCAGAGAAGGCATTTCCAAGACCTCTCTCTGTACATAGTAGAGGCAAAGGGAAGGCCACTGGGTGGGTGGGCAGGCAGACTGGCACAGGGACTGGAGGGCGATGACTGAGATTCAAGAAGCTACTCAAACAGCAAGATGAGCAGCCAAGCTTTCTTAGTTGGTGAAAGTGGTCGCCCCTAGAAGGACTCAGGAGCTCTGTGGTCTGTGTGAAGGCTGCTGGCTGACCCCTGACCCAAGTGTTTCTCTCTAAAGCCTGACACTCCACTATGAGGTGGCTGGTCTGAATTATATGCTGCTAGCCAGTGATCCGTGGGCCTCCTGACAGAATGCAGGGAACCAGGCTTGGAGCCAACAATTCCTTCACTATTGGCAAGTCACTGAAGTTCCCAACATCCATAAAAAGGGGACAGAAAAAGGTGACAGTGCAAAGCGCTGAACTTACAGCCTGGCACACATAAATGCTTTTCCTTTGCTGCTTTCCAAACTCATTAAAAATGTATGTTCCCCTTTTTAGTCCTTTACGGGGACCCTTCCTTCTGGGGAGTAGAGGTTGGGGTGCAGAGGGAAAGCACAGGGAAGGCCAAGGGGCTGCGTTTCTATTCTTTTTTTTTTTTTAATTCTCACCTGAGGATATTTTTTTTCATTGCTTTTCAGAGAGAGTGGAAGGGGGGGGGAGAGAGAGAGAGAGAAATCAATGTGCGAGAGACACATTGATTGGTTGCCTCCCGCTTGGGCCCGACTGGGGCAGGGGACGGAGTCTGCAACCGAGGTACGTGCCCTTGGCCAAAATCGAACCCGGGACCCTTCAGTCCACGGGCCGATGCTCTAACCACTGAGCCAAACCAGCTAGGGCAATGCGTTTCTATTCTTTATTACCAGAGAGAGGCTGGGACATGCTTCCTGCTGCTGCTCATGGGATTGGGCCCAGCACTGACACCAACTTGGGCTGAAACCCAAGTCGGGGCAGGCAGCCGCAGGAAGCTGACTCAGCGGCACCAGCACTGCTGTCTATCAGCCCTGCAGCCAGGTGAGTGAACCCCTGGGGAACGGGCTGGTGGTATACCAGGGAAGGTGTGTTCTGGTTCCCAGGGCCAGTGAGAAGTGAGCTGTGCAAGTCCACAGGCCTGTGATGTTCTCATGAGCATTTGAACATTCATGACCCTGCCTGTCCCTACTGTCCCCAGCTTGCATCCCAGGGAAGTACTTACTTCCAATGTGGTCGTCTGAATAGGGGTCCCCAGTCCCTCTATAAGAGTATGGGCCTAAAGGCCACCTGCTAGTCTTATGACACAGGCACATTGCTGAAACCCTGAACCTTAGTTTCCCCCAGTGAGTCGGGCTCTTGTACCTACCTCATAGGTTTGAGGAGTAAATGTGATGCCTCCTCCGTGTTCACCGCTGTAACCCTAGTGCCTAGAACACTGCTGGCCCTAGGAGGGCCTTGGAAATATGTGTAAAATGAACTCACACGAGGCGGGTGTGACACCCAATAATCTTTGGTAAGGGCCACCACGGCTGCATTTCACTGCATCTCCACCGTGCTAACAGCATCCCACTGTTTCCACACCTCTGAGAGCTCAGGGATCTGGGGTTGGCCTCAGATCACCACTGCTTACCCACCAAACACCCCCTTCTCCTCCTCTTGCCTTCTCTGGAGGCCCAACTGGAGCCTTCCTCTCCAGGAAACCGTCCCCAGTCACCCCTACTCTCCCTTCCCTTCCCAGGGGGTCCCTGCAGCCTGACAGCAGCGGCCACATCATTATATCCTCACGAAGTCTTGCCCCTTCGTGATGGCCTCTTGACCCTTCCCCTGGAGAAGTCCACCAAGCCAGGCCTGGGCACAGGGAGGGAACAGTTCCCGCGAGCAGGGGTCAATGTGGGTGACACAAAATGTCTCCAGGACTGTGAATCAGGTTCCTGTACTGCAGGCTTTCTCTGCCCTGGGCATGCTGTGATGGCTTACCCAATCCCGCACAACAGCACAGCCTCCGCAGGGCACAGGCCGGCTAGTCTTCCCTCCGACAGTGGCTTGTAGGGTGGGCATGGGGCAGGGGAGAGATGGCAGAGTTCCCCATCTCCCAATACACAGGCCCTGGTCAGCCTAGCGTGCTCACCAGGTGGCTATGTCACCCCCACAGGGACAGTTTCAGCTCATTCAGGGTTTGGGAGGGCCAGGACAGCCCATGGAGGAGATGGACGGGGGTGGGTGCCTTGAAAGGGGGTCAGGAGAGGGATTTTACCATCTATGGCTGGGTGGGCACCCCTTACATCTTACTGCCAACCTCGAGGGTCCCCATGCAGAACTCCTTCCCTCTGAGGTTAGAAGCCAACCCGCCACCAGCCTCATCTACTTGCCACAGCAACCAGCCCCAGCCCCTTCCTCCGGAACTCTGGCTGGGTGAAGCTTGAAAGTCACTGGTGCCACCCATCACCCCTTTCTCTGTCCCAGGGTCCAGCTTGGCTTTTGTCCTGCCTCCTGCGGGTGCTGCCCAGGTGAGGTGGGAGAATAGGAAGGCAGGGGCCTCGCTCGTGCTTCAGGGCCCCACAACCTGTGTCCCACAGCAAGCTTGGCTCCAGCCTCTGGCCCCCAGCACCATGGCTGGCCCCCCATGCCAATCAGCCACCCCCCAGCCGATGCCTCTTACCAGGCTTTGGGATGAGTCCTTGGAAAGGCCTGGAAGAGAAACAGAGAGGAGAGTGTCAGGGGAGGGCCTGGGAGCTCATTAGAAATGTTTGGGGCACATCCAAGACCCACTGCATCAGAATCTGCCATTTTAACATGACGGCCAGTGATCTGTGTGCAAGGGACACCGTTCAAGAAGGGGGCGATCAGGGTCTCCTGCTGGCTCTGCCCTGGCTGGCTCTGTGACCTTGGGCAAATAACTTGTCTCTGTTTCCTCCCCTCTGAAATGAGTCTAACGCTTCTCCCAGGGTGCTAGGAGTGCAGTGGACAGGTGGAGGTGCCAAGAAAGCTGCGCCTGCTATGGTGGCCATGGTGTGGTGGCTGTTCTGAACTCTGGGGGGCCCTCTGCACCCTGGCTGACCTGCAGTCCTCCCCCCAACTGCCAGGACCCAGGATGGCACTGGGACAGCCACAGTGTTCTGCAGGGAGGGGAGGACTGACAGAAGGAAAGGCCAAAGGTCCCCTGGTGCCAGCCCCCACCCGTGCTAGTCCTGCCTCACTCTTCTTCCCCGAGTACCTGGTGACTGTGAACTTGATCTTGTCAGCCACTGCGAGGATCCTCTCCAGGTTTTGGGAGCCAAAGGTGCAGGGCTTTCGGAATGGGATTCCCGGGGGCAGCCCCTCAATGATCACCGAGCCGGGGTTACTCTTGATGCGCTTGTAGGGAACCTGGACCGGGTACTTGATGCCCAAGGCTTCCCCTGTGGATGACAGACAGAGCAAGTGTCATTAGGAGTCAGAGGCAGTGCTAGTGTGGGAACGTGGAGGTGTGTGAGGGTGCTCTGTGCACAAATATGAAATAAAAATCTGTCATTCAGTACCAAGGAAAGGCACAGCTGGTGGGGGACTGGGAGTTAGGGGGTGTGTTGTGCAGGGGGCCTAGAGGGTCGGGTATGAGTGTCCTGGGCTGGGCTGAGTGGGCAGGGGACTAGCTATGGCTGCAGGGGAGAAGGCAGTGGCTAATGTGTCTCAGAGTCCTAGCCTAAGAATCTGAAAGCCCACCTTGAGGATGGTACCTGTGGGCGCAGCTGCCCTTCCTACAACGCCCGACCCTCCATCAGCCCTAGGGCTCTGCCTTACCCGTTGCGGATCGGCCTGGCCTGAGAGGACAGACTGCATTTGGGAGCAAGGAAGGCAGCCTGAGGCCAGCCAGGGTGCAGCTCAGACCTCAGGGCCCTCTTTCCGCATCTGGGAGTTGGTCTCATTCCCGTCACCGAGCCTCTGTACGGCTGTGGTATGTCCATCCCACTGACGGTACTTTGTCTCACAGCGGGCCTAGGGGCAGTCTTTGGGGGTGGGGTGGCCACTGTTGTCCCACTGTCAGCCGAGGCCTGCTGCCTGCTGTCAGGGGCCACCCCGGAGGCACTTCCCGGCTGGTCCTCCCATGGTTCCTGCCCACAGGACCAAGGACCAAGTGCAAGTACCACAGCCCTGGGTGCTGTGAGGCTGACTTGAACGTTCATGTCTCTCAGACTTAGATGGGGTCCACCACCGGAGACCCATACAGGTAGAGACTCCCCTAAGGGGCTGGCTGAGACCATCATCCACAGTGTCACAGGGTGCCCCTTTATGAAGATACACTGCAGAAATCTCCACGTGTCTTGCACTGGGAAGAACAGTGGAACTTTTTCGTGCCATAAACTAATTTTTATCTCATGGACACTGGCAATCATAAAACTTGTCTCATTTCCCTTTTTGCTCTGGCTCCTCGGAAACTCAGAACCTGATGTGTGCCCTGCCTCTAGCAAGTACAGAATTTGAGTCTTCATGTCACCTCTGGATTCGTGCCATTGCTTTAGACTGTTTGATTTTATTTAATTGAGATATAATTCACATGCCATAAACTTTACCATTTTGAAGCGTACGATCCAGTGGTTTTTAATATACTCACAAGGTTGTGAAACTATCTCTACTATCTAATCCCAGAACATTTTCATCGCTCCAAAAAGAAATCCTGTGCCCATCAGCAGTCACTCCCTTGTCCCCTCTCCCCATGCCCTGGCAGCCACTTCCTATCTCTATGGATTTCCAGCCTGTTTTTAATTCTTCATCTTGATTTTGTTGCTCACTAGTTTACATGCTATTGCAGAGATCCTTTTTGAAATAAAAAAAAATCAGGAGGAAAGGAAAATTTGTACCCATAACCCATGAATGGGAACACATCCCTACTTCTCCTCTAGCCTCCAAAGTGGCTCTTGCCACAATGACCAGTGGCCTCCATGCGTTAAACCCTATAGACTCTTGCACTCTTTTGGCAAAATCTGACACAGATGCCCACTCTTTCCTCCCTGAAGCCTTCTCCATGGTGTCCATAACACCACACTTTCCCGTTTTCCCTTGTTCTGGTCACTCCTCTTCCTCCTGGACCTGACTTCTAAACACAGCCTCCTTGGCCTTCAGTCTGGGTCCTCTTTTGCTCCTTCTGCACCCCCCATGGTGTCTCCCCTACTCCCATGACCTAATTTTTGGTTCTAATCCAGATACCCTTCTGAACAGCAGACTTCATCTCCACTCACTCCTCAAACTCAACATGTCCCAAATGGAACCCACTACCTTCCCCCTCTAATGACTCCTCTCAGTGAGGGCGCCGCCCCTTCTCCCTGGCTGACAGTTTGGATGTCTACCTGTCCCTGGTGTCTGTGTGCTCTATCCCCTCCCCCCATCATGGTGACAAGTCTAGGTGACCCAATGAGCATGTGGCGTTTCCCTGCCACAGGGATTGTGTAAGGAATGGATATATGACTCTATAGGGGCCCTTGAGAAACAAGGGGAGAACTCAGGGGATTCTGGGAAAGAAATAACCTGGCTTTCTTAAGAAAGCCTGTGAAAGGGCCAGAACTCTCACTCCTTCCAGAGTGTGCAGATGGGATGTCCGGACCTGCTGCAGCCATTCTGCCAACAAGTGGGAAGTCAGCCTGAGATGATGCAAGGACATTCCTGGGCTGCTGAATCCAGCTGACCCTGAAGGCCATTCTACTGCTGGACCTCCCATGCTATGAGCTATGGCTGATTGTATCAATTTTCCTCCCATCCCACATGTTCTTCTCACAGCATAACATCTACACTCCCCCATAGAGAACTGGGGATGGGACTTTTATAACTGCTTCAACCTGTACAGTATACAACAGAGGTGAGGTGATACTGTAAGACCTCTGAGGCTGGGTCATAAAAGGCAACACAGCTTCCACCTGGCTCTCTCAGGACACGTGCCTCAGGAGCCCAGACTGACAAGTAGAAATCTAGCCACCCTGGAGTCACTATGCTGGAAAGCTCACATGGAGGGATCTCACAGAAATTAAGAGATGCCCGAGGGGCCCCGCTGTTCCAGCCCCAGCAGTTTCCCCAGCCCACGGATCAGACATGCGAGTCAGGAAGCTGTCCAGGTGGTCCCAGTCTCAGCCACCTTCTGGCTGCAACCTTGGGAGATTTCCCTGAGCGAGTTGACTCACTGACACCAATGAGATATAATAAATGGTCATTGTTATTGAATCCCCTTTATTGTTCAAGCCAGTTTTAGTTTGTTTTTATTACTTGAGGCCAAAAAGCATCTTAACTTATTCTAGCTCGTTTTCCTCAAGCCAGGAGGCCTCTGCTTTCCTCCCCACTCCCTGCCAATTCAGCACCAGTGATTCTCTCTGAGCACATCTCAACTCCATCCACCTTCCTCAAGTACTAAGTCCAGGGCCCCAGCCAAGAGCATCACTCTGGCTTGAGCTACCACTCCAGCCTCTGAGCTTGTCTTCCACCATCCACCCTGGCCTCCCGCACCCATTCACTTTCTTCACAGCGTCCAGGAAGATACTTCAAAAGTGCAAAGTGGCTCCAGTCACTTCATTCTTCCCAACAAAATACAAAGCTGATACCGTGGATGATCAGCTGTTTCCTGGCCCGCTGCATAGGGTCCCCTCCTCCCTCTACCTCCATGCTTCAGCTTTGTCGCCTTCTCAGTACAAGCCTCAGGGCCTTTGCACATGCCATCACCATAGCTGGAATGTCCTTTCTTCACACTTTGCTTGATTAACTCCTAAACTATCTATCCTTCAGCTCTTTCTTCAGAGGCTTTCCCTGGCCCACAATTTAAGGAAAGCACCCAAGTTACTCTCTTGAGCAGCCTGCACTTTTCCTGCATGATCGTGGAGCAATTCCTCATTGTTAGATTCTGTGTAGTTGCTGAATGTCTCTCTCCTCACTGATTTATGGTATGGGTCCCATAAGGGCAGGGACTGTGCGTTTTCTTTACTGCTGTGTCTCCAGTACCTAGTACATAGTAATTGCTCCAGAAATATTTATAAGTGGATGAATGGTTTTCCCAGAGGTGACTGCAATGGACCCGGGAAGCTCCTGCCTCTCTTCCCACCCTGCGGGTTCCCTCCACCCAGGTGCCCAGGCCTCACCGTATTTCTTATTGAACAGATCCTGGACTTGCTCCCTCAGCGTGTTGGCGATGTCAATCCGGGAGAGTCTGGCGTCATAATTTTCTGCAAAATGAACGACAATTATGGATTTGGGCTATTAAATTAAAAGGCACTTAGTGACTTTTAAGGAATATGATTTTCTAATTATGGGGACCTCCTTCTCTGGCAATTATCGGATCCTTCGAGTGGGCCCCTCAGGTCCTTCAGAGCTAACATCTTGACAGAGATGTGTGTGTTTCCGGAAGGATGCACACAGTTGTGACAACAGCAGTGAGTTAGAAATTGAGTTAATTGTTGACATTTGAAAACCACCACGGCGATAAATAAGCCTGGAGGTGAGAGACGCCATGAAGAGGATCGGTTCCTGCGCCATGGTGGGCTTGGGGCCGGGAGATGCGAGCTCAGGTGGCTGGGCAGCCCCCAGAGAGGCAGGGAGCCAGCCTAGCAGCTCCCAGTGGCCACTCACTCACCAGGAGGGTGTTTACTAAGGAGCCTATATGCCAGCATGTGACAGGGGGACCCCTGTCTTTGGGGAGGTTACCGCCTGGCACTGCCTTGTGGGAAGAGAGAGGTGAGGGAACAGATCTGGACCTGTATATTAAGAGGACTGGGTATGAGGAGCCTTGGGGTGCAGTGAGAGACTCAACTTCCCTCATCACAGGAAGTTCCAGCTTCCCAGGAAGGAGTGAGAGACTGGGCAGTGAGCAGCCATGCCCCTGGGATCTGGGTCCTATCTCTCAGGGCTCCCCCACCTCCAGGGCTGGCCCTTCCCGTCACTGATCTCACTGACCCATTTTCTCCTCAGAGCCACAGTGACCACCCAGGGCTCACCTAAGAAGCGCCCACTCATGCAGCCACACCTAGGGTTGCCCCAACAGGCGCTCGGACGGCTGTTCTCTGCCCCCTCGCTGCTGCTACACTTGATCTCAACTAAAATGCTGAGAAGTGATACTGCACCCCCCACAGATGGGAGGGGCAGAGCGGCTGTTTCTGTTTCTCAGGTATGGGCCACACTTCAGGCCTTTACTCACGCTCTTCCTCTTCTCTCCCCCCACATTCACTTCCTCCCACCCCTTCCTGGCCCCGCTGCAGTCTTCCTCCTCTGGAGAGCCCTCCTTGCTCTTGGTGAACTCCCGCTCCTGACTTGAAAGCAGTAAGAGCAAGGTTGACCACCTAATATGCAGTGGGCTGGGCAGTGGACATCCCGGGTGGACAGTAGTGGGCTCTTGCACCCAGTGGAACCCCCCACCCCGCTCAAGCTTCTGTGGAGCCTCTTACTCAGCGCTGTCAGGCTATAGCCCTGTCCCCAATGCCAGCCCACCTCACCTAGCCCCCCAGGCCTTGAGGTTGTGTCCAGCCCCACCCCATCTGGCCTTTCAAACCCAAGCCAGGTCAAGGTCATGAAGCTGGGACAGTTGACCCCATCCTGAGCTGCAACCTTACCTTGAAAGCCCTGTCTCTTCAGGCTCCTGTCCACAAAAGGGTCCCCGGAATCCCTCTCTGGGGGCGGGGGAGAGAAGCCAGGGTGAGCAGGCAGCTAGCTCCTGAGACCCAGGGACAAAGGTAGGGGCAAACCCGATGGGGAGGGCAGTTGGGGGATGCTAGGGGAGGAGAGAGGAAGCAAAGGAGGGGTGGTGGCAGAGGCCTGGACCCCTCCCACGCCCAGCCCGCACCTTAGCCCATGACCCTGTGCAGGGTACCTTGGCTGTCCGTGATGGGCTCTTTGACTCCTTCGGTGAGCAGCTCAGGCCTGGAAAATACAAGTGGGGCTGTCACCAAGGTCTCTCTAAGCCTTCCGTGTACTGCACAGACCTCCCCTCTGAGCCTCAGTCTGTACATCTGTGCAATGGGCCCTTTTGCCTCGGACAGTCCAGGTCTGGGGTCCCTGCCCTCCTCCTCCCCTGAAGCTGTCCTTCAGACCCACGTTGAGATCCAGCTGGGGGTGGAGGTCTGCACTGGGCTCTGAGGATTCAGCTGGCAGTGAGACTAACTAGCCTGGTCCTGGCCCGGTGGGACTGACATCCTTACTCTCAGTTCCAGGATGCTGTATGACTGCCACTGTCCAGGGTCAGAGCACATGGTCTGCGGGGCTCCCCACAGAGCTAGTTTTAAGTGTAGAAGCCGTTGGGATGACTGTGTGGCAAGTTCTTGGAGGTGTAAGGAAGGCCCGAGGTTTCTGGCTGACAACTGAGAGCTGCCATTTCACTTATGAGTTGGGGGCCTCGAGCACCAGGCCCAGCTTTCCACTAACCTCTCTATCTACACAGACTCCACAAAGCCCTTCCCAGGCATGAGGAAACCTGCTCAATGTCCTTGAGGTAGGTACTGTTTCCATCATCCCATTCTCAGGACGAGCAGACTGAGGCATCGGGAAGGTAACATCCCCAAGACCACACAGCTCAAGGGGCAGAGTTCAAAGTAGGTGCCCCTCGCCCCCTCACTTGCAGCCTCTCCAGCTGAGGGACACCCTCTTCCCACCTGGACCTGTTTTCTCATATGAAATGGGATAAAAACCCTGTCCTGGCTCAAACAGAGGGGAGCAGGCCTTACACGTCCAAGTTTGAGGAGACAATGCAGGACCGTGGAAGGTACTGAGTCTCAGATTCCCTATGAGGAGAAGGGGAGAGGTAGTGGTGGGGGTCTGAATGCAGACTGAGGCCTTTTCCAGCTCCTGAGACTGTGGGCCAAGGCAGGGCTGTGCCTCTTCCCTCCCTGGCCCTGGGAGCTCAGCCCTGTGCCAGGCACTGAGCTAATGCAGATGCCTGCTGCCCGGAAAGGCATCAAATCCTCACTGGCTGGCTGCTTGACCTGGGGGCAGAGTGTCCTGAGTCTGACCTTTGGCCTCACTCCCAGGCAGGGTCTCTGTGTCGCTGCTCGGCCACCTCTGTGGTGGAGAGCTCATCACCTTTGTGGGCAGCCTCACCACAGACCAGTCCTCACACTAGACCCTGGTCTTCTCTCCGAGAGATCTGAAGGCAGTTCAGTCTGTTACCTGTCCCACTCCACCATGCCCTCAGGCCTCCTCTGGCCAGCCTGCCTCTCCAGTGCCCGCATGCTGCCACAGACTCCAGACCCCACCACCCAGACAGGCCCACTCTAGCTGGACAAGGCTGCACTGAAAATGGGGCATTCAGAGTCAGTGCCATGCAAGAGTTGGTCTGATTCTTTGTCCCTGGTTCCAGGGAGAGAACCTCTAAATCTTTGGAATTTCTGGAATGACAGGAGTGTCTTTGTGAGCTCTCGGGTCACACCTATGTTTATGCTAATAAGCTGACCCAGGATTCAGGAAGAGTAACCATGTGATTAGAGGACTGAGGCTTTGAGCCACCTGACATTAGCTCAATCTCCTGACTTCTAGTGGTGGTGGTAGGGGAGGCTGGAGATTGTGTTCAATCACATAGCCAATAATCTAACCAAGACTACATAATGCATCACAGTCCTAATAAAAACTGTGGACACTGAAGCTCAGTGGAACTGCCTAGTTGGTGAACAAATCAATGTGCTGAGAGGGTGCCGTTCCCTGATTTCATGGGAGAGGGCGTGGGAGCTCTGTGTCCAGTGCCCTCCCAGACCTCACCCTTTGTGTCTCTTCAACTGGCTGGTCCTGACTTACATCCTTTATGTAAAACTGTAATCATAACACAGCCTCTTCTGAGTTCTGTGAGTTGATCTAGCTAATTATTGAACCTGGGGAGCCATGGGAAGCTAGTTGCTCAGAAGTGTAGGTGGCCCAGGGCCCCTTGAACTTCTGGCTGGTGTCCGAAATGGGGACACTCTTGTTAGGGCCTGTGCCCTGAAACTGTGGGATCTGCTAACTCTGGTGGTTAGCAAAAGATCTGTAGCACTACATTCATTTAGAACCTCCCACCATCACTGCCCTGGACCTCAGTCTCCCACCGTGAGAATCTACTCATGGTTTTCAATTTCCAAAGGGTTAATGTTGGAGAATTTGATGAAAGCAAGGGCCCGTTTTTCCAGAAAAATGCACAAAAGAATACAAAAACTTTGCATAAAAGTTCAAGGATATGGGTTAATAATGTTTTTTGACCAAAGGTTCAGAAAGTTTAATTTGATTTCGTGCCAACTCTAATTAACAGGTAGTGGTTGTCTGGAGTACTGTTTAGAAGGATGTGGAGATCAGGTTCAGGCAGAAAGAGTGTCGTCAATGAATCAGTGATGTCTCCTGCAGGTGATAATTTCTCCCCCAAATTTCATGTTGAAGCCCTAACCCCCAGTACTTCAGAATGTGACTGTATTGAAAAACAGGGTCTTTAAAGAGGTGATTAAATTTAAATGAGTACATTAGGATGGGCCCTAATCCATCTGTCTGGTGTCCTTCCAAGAAGGGGAGATTAGATCATGCAGAGAGAGATACCAGGGATGGGTGAGAACAGAGAAAAGACCATTTGAAGACACAGTAAGGAGGTGGGCATCTGCAAGTCAAGGAGAGAGGCCTTGGGGAAACTAAACCTGCCAACACCTCAATCTTGAGCTGCTAGTCTCCAGAATTGAGAGAAATAAATTCATGTTATTTAAGCCACCTAGTCTGTAGTACTTTGTTATGGCAGCCTCAGCAAAGAACTACACATACCATAAAATTCACTTTTAAAGTATGCCAATCAGTGGCTTTTACAATATTCACAAAGTTGTTAATGTAGCCATATGTCTATCTAAGTCTAGAACCTCACCTCCCAAATGTATCCTTCTTAAAAATAAGATTAATGAGAAGTGGCTATTTTTCACTTAATAGTCCCAACAGCATTTTTGCTAATTTTTAAAATGAGGAATAATGTAATAAAGATACTTAAGTGTTCAAAATCATCCCGACTAGTCTTTAGTCCCATTGCCCGCCTGCTGCACTGACAAGGTTAATCACCCACCCACTTGAATCACTTTCTTCACTTGGCTTTCAGGAAAATGGAAAAGTTAAATTCACTTTTTAAAATTGCTATATATATATATATATTTTAAAAACATATCTTTATTGATTTCAGAAAGAGGAAAGGAGGGGGAGAGAGAGAGAGAGATAGAAACATCAATGATGAGAGAGTCATTGATCGGCTGCCTAGCCCGCAACCCAGGCATGTGCCCTGACTGGGAATCAAACCCCGATCTCCTGGATCCTAGGTCGATGCTCAACTGCTAAGCCATGCCCGGCCAGGCAAAATTGCTATATTTTTGCCCTGGCTGGGTGGCTCAGTGAGCTGGAGCATCGTCTCATACACCAAAAGGTTGCAGGTTCGATCCCTGGTCAGGGAACATACAAGAATCAACCACTGAAAGCATAAGTATCAATGTTCTCTCTCTCTTTCTCTTCCCCCCTTCCGCTCTTTCTCTCTCTAAAATCAATATATAATTTTTTTTTTAAATGCTCAGGAGCACAGGGGAGAGGCTGTCTCTGCAGGTAAATAACAAGAAAGGTGAGTTCATGTGGATTTGCTGTTGATTTGTCTCCTACCTTCAAACTGCCCAAGTGCTTCGGTTCTGGGTTTGAGGGGATGAGTGTGGCAAGCTGCCTCCATGTGTGCATCCCTCCTAAATGCTGACAGCTCCCAAAGTTCTTTCCCCACCCTGAGGTCTCCACTGAGCATAAGGACTGTCAGTCCCGTAATCCACCTGCTGTCTCTCCCCGAAAGGCCCAATGCATCTCAAAACTAACACACGTCAGACCCAGCTCTCGACTGCGGCCTCCACCCACATCGTCTCCATCTCAGAAAATGGCAACACCGCCAGCCTGGGTGCTCAGCCTGCAACCTTACAGTCATTCAGTCCTCTATTCCTCTCACACCCCACATCTAGTCTTTCAGCAAATTCCTCAAAATATTGCCTGAATCTGACAACTTTCATTACTCCCACCCTGTCTTTATGTAGTTCAAGCTGCTGCCCTATCCCCTGGGCCAGAGTAAAGCCTCTTCGCTGGTCCCTGCTTCTGTCCCTGCCCATACCTCCCAGAGTCCTCTCTACCCCATGGCTGGAAAATAAAAAATAGACCAGATCATATCACTCTCCTCAAAACCTTCCAGTGAGTTTTCATTAAGTTTGAAATAAAATCCAAACTTTTTAAGCCAGCCCAAGACTGTGTAATCTGGCCCCTGCTATCTCTTAGGCCTCACCACTCGCCATTCTTCCTTGGCTCACTTTGCACCAGTGACGCTGGGCCTTGCTAGTCTTGAAACACGAAAGCATGTACCTGCCTCAGGGCCTTTGCACCTGCTGTTCCCTCTGCCTGAACACTCTTCCACCAGATACTGACATGGCTCACTTCATTGGGTCTCTGTTCCACTGTCACCTCCTTAGACAAGTTTCTCCTTACCCCTTTCTGCCCCCTTACCTTGCATTACAGCACTTATCTCTACTTGACATTATATTGTCATTTTACTTGGTGAGATTGGTCAACCCAAGGGCAGGACTTAGTGACATCTGCTGTTATATCACAGCCTGGCACATGGTTGGCTCTTGAGATGCTATTTGTTGAAGGAAGGAACCAGGTATCCACTATTTTTGTCTCCTGAGGCATCACCTTCCCTACTTCTCCTGATGCAAACCAGGTCCCATGGGAGAGCCCCGTCTGCCCCTCTAGGTGTGAAGAACACTGGGGGCCATCTACTTCTCCAAGAGGGAATACACCCTTAAGAGTCTCTTTTGCCACTTTCAACCAAACCAAACCTAAATTTACAAGACATGACAGTAACACACAGAAGCAACAAACACAAAACAATGTTCCTCCCCAAGTCCTTGTCCTTTCAAAAATTAATAGCTTGTCCCTACCTCCTCCAGGGGGACTTTACATCCAAGATGGGCACACAGCCCCATTGGGCTCTTGCCAACAAAACTGAGATTTCCAAGGAAACAAAAGGGACCTGGAAAGGCCACAGCCATCTTTTCCAATCCTGGGATAATGGGCATTGCCCTCAGCAGTGCCCTGATGCCCCCTGGCCCAGGCCACCAACACACTAGTCCAGAGGATGCTCAGAATGGTCTAGGAGAGCAAGCCGGCGGGCACATTCCCATTCCACGTGTTGGCAAACTGGAGACTGAGAGCCTGGTAGGCCTGGACTGAGCCTGGATAACCTTGTGCTTGCCCAACTGTGCCCAATTAATACCCTACTCTTTGAAAACAAAACAAAACAAAAAAAACAAAACAAAACAAAACAAAACAAAACAAAACAAAACAAAACAAAACAAAAGTTTGCCCCACTCTGAAGAGGAAGATGGTACTTCGGTACTGCTCCTGGATGTTGGGCAAGCCTGGAGGGCCCACAGACCTGCCAGGCCTTACCTCTTAATGACAAACTGGATGCTGTTGCTGGCCTCCAGGATCTTCCGGAGCTTGGCAATCCCGAAGCAGTTGGGCCTGCGGAGGGAGATGCCTTCAGGCAGCCCCACCACAAACAGCTCCTCTGGGTACATCAGGAACTTGGAGTAGGGCACCTTGACGGGCTCCGAGATGCCAATGGCCTTGGCTGCAGAGACACAGCTACTGTAGGGCCACCTAGAGCTGCAGGGCCACCAGCCTCAACTCCCACCTCCCACATCTGCACAGGGGACCACAGGTGCCAGAGCCCTTTTAGAGTCAGCAGTTAGTTGAACTTTCCCAACCTTCCTGAGAGGTGAGTACTGTTACCCTGTCTCCAAGTAAGAGACCTGGAGCTCAGATGGGATGTAACTCATCTCGGGTCCCAGAGCTCCAGAGCTGAGGTATGTGAACCCCAATCTCATGCTCATTCTGTGCCCTCACACCCAGGCAGTGCAGGAGAAGCCACTGACAGCTGGTGAGACCTGGCGTTGGCTCCACCCAAGACCATGCATCCCTGTGTTGCCAGAAAGGCCCTCCAGAGGGTCCCCCACCACCATAAAGAACCCCCAAACTCTGTGTGGCCCAACATCAAGCTTTGGGAAGAGGACAGATCTAAGGTCCAGGAAAGTGTTGCCACTGACTAGCTGTGGGATCTCAGAGAAGCCATGTCACTTCACCAGACCTCATTTTCCTCATCTGTAAAATGGGTATGAGAACACAGGGATTTTGTGAGATGGGATGAGAGAACCTGTGTGAAGCACTTAGCCAGTGCGTGGGAAATCATAGGCGCTTAATAAATAAATCTTTCTACCCTACCTCCCCATCCTCTCTCCTGGTCTCTCTCTAGTAGGAAAGTCCTTGCATACGAGTCCTCCGAAGGACCCTGAACGCGGGTGCCCATGGGGACAGAGGGGCAGTTCTTACAGTGGAGTGAATCAACCTCTCCAACCTGAGGCTGAGGCAGATGTGAGTGAACGTGGGCGTGTTTACCAATCAGGCCAAGGTGTAGTGTTTCAGAGGGAGGGGTTTTCTGGCAGTGCCTCAGTCTCCCTGGGTGCCCCCATCCCTTTTCCAATAGGTCCCAGCCCCTTCCTCCCCTTCCCACCTTGTTCCTGTGCAGTGAGCAGCTGGGATGGGGGGCCAGGCCAGGCTGCCCCGACCCTGTCCGGCTCCTTGCTCACCGTATCTTGTGTTGAAGAGCAGCTCCACCTGCTTCCGCAGGGGCCGGATCACATCGCCGTGGCTGTCTGAAAGGCAAAAAGCAGCCTGCTGAGCCTCCTCAGTGGCAGCAGCACCCTGCTTCTCAGCTCATGTCTCAGCTCTGCTGGCACCAAAAATGACCCTGTGGTGGGACCTTGGGATAGAGAAGGCCAGGGGTGGTGGTGGCAGGTAATCTATTCCTTCAGAAATCGCACCCCAGACAGGTCTGCAATTCTTGGGCTTAAATACCTGCTTATGAAGTCCAGTCTAGGGCATCACCAGGCTGAGTGGAGATCTGGAAGTTGTGGCCTAAGAATGATCACGGGCCTTTCTAAATAAGTGTCACTCCAGACCAGCTCAGCAAGTTACTTAACCAATGAGTATGCAAACAGAGTATGCCACTACCAGGTGATAGTGGACTTTTGTTAACACTTCATGGTCCCAGCTGCCAGGCTGGGTTTGGGGAAGTGATGCGTCTCTCCTCTGACACCCATTCATTCCATGTCAGGGGCAGATACTCCTGAGATGAAACAGGCCTGTCCTCAGCTTGATCTCCCTTCCTGGCCTGTTCTCACTCTCAGCAGGAAGGGAATGAGCAGTGTTCCTAAAAATGAGCATGTCTCATGGACAAAGCACAAAACCAATTTTGTGCTTTCAGGCCTAAATCCCACTTGCTCAGGAAGACTAGACTCAGACCTCACTCTTAAGATCTTTGTGGAAAGAAGCACTGTGCATATTAAAACAGAAATAGAAAGCCTTGCAATTTTCCTTCCCAGAAAGAACTGCTGTACCTCTGACCAGGTACCTCCTAGTTCTAGAAAACAGGTCTGTGAACCTCCCACCTCAGGCATCCCACAGGACCCCCACCCCCAAGCGGGGTGTTGGAGAGACATAGGGAAGATGAGGGGCAGGGGGGGCAGCAGAGATGGAGGAGTGGGTGAAATGTGGGAAGTGGTCAGTGACTCACCCTCCACAGGCCTCTCCTCAGGCCGCAGGTCTTCGCTGGGGCCTTTGTCTGAAAAAGAACAGAGGATGCTGGGAAGCCACATTCATCATCTCCTGCACCCTGTGCTGCTAGTCAGGCCAGACAGGTGGGGAATGGCAGGCTGGCAGGCTCTGCCTCTGGAGCATGGCATAGTGACCCCCAGACAAGATCAGGGACCTTGAATGAGTACAGACACCCCACCCTCATCTCCATGCAGGGAGGGCAAGTTCAGAGACCAGGGATCCCATCACATTTGCTGAGTACTCCCCGGGGGCCAGCCCTGTGCCTGCTGTCCTTCCTACTATACACTACGTTCTGTTTTAGGCACTAAGGACGTGCAGGAACAAGACAACGCCTTGTCCTCTTGGTGTGACACAGACATAACACATAATGCCAGATGGTGGCGATGCCATCAAGAGAAACAGAATCAGATAAGGGGACAGAGGGAGGAGCAGGTGGGGGGCATGGAGCCACCCTGGGTCAGGTAGTCAGGGGTTGTGATTGATGAGGTGGCACTGGCGCCAGCCCAGGCTGCCAGCAATGGATACAAGCTTGTTTCCAGATGCTTGTAGCAAGGATACAGGGCAGCAAATAGGGGAGGTGACTGCTGAGGCTGCATGGGGGTAGAGAGGGTCTCCTGCTGGCCTTGGGGGTCTGAGGAGGGGAAGCTTCCTGCAGGAGGGGAACACCTGGGCTGGGCCCAGTGTCCAGGAAAAGCAGTGGGATGGCAGGGACATAGGCAGGAAGGGAGGAACAGCATGCGGAGGGGCCAAACTCTGAGGTGATGGGTTTTGGCTGGAGGATCACATGCAAATGTGGACAGTGGGAGTGTTTGTGAGGAGGATAGGCCTCGGCCGTGGCCAGGGCTGAGGAGGGCACTGAGGGATTTTCAACATTTGTGACTTGGGAAGCTCACTGGTGCCTTCACATGCGGTAGTAGCCCTTAAACAGCTCTTTGCTGCCCATGACACGCAGCTGTGCTGGGGATGGTGCAGCAGGTGGATCCCAGGTCTGCTCGCCCAGCTCGAGAGAGCAGTTGGTGACGAGGGAGGCAGGACACTGTCCCCGTCCCAGGTGCGATCCTGAGCTGAAGGAAAGGGGCTAATCCTGGGAGAGCTGTCAATGGTCAAGGCCAGTTCACCGACTGAGGGAAGGTGAACCCACACATCTGGGATCACCAGAGAAGCCTGAGTCTTGAGGCTCAGCCTGGAAGGAGCCGGAAGGTTCTGGAAGCTTTCATCTATGTGCAGCCACCAACTTGAAAAGGTGGAGGGCCAGCCCTGAGGTTTTGGCCTAAACTTTCCTCAGGGAAATGGACACACTATGGGCAGTACATGCTGGGTCCACCTGATTCTGCCTGAAGAACTGGCCGCGGGAGAACCAGCAAACTGAGCCCGCGACTAATGCCCTGGAAACAGCTCTCAGCCAATGATGGGGGCGACTTGGCAGGTCACTAACCCAGCTCCCTCCTCACCCAGCTGCGAGCTCAGCGTGTGATCCGTGGGCTCGCATGGGCTCAGCTGCCTGCAGTGGTCACACACCTGACAACACGACTGTACTGCCTCAGTCCCACATCCCACCTCGTACCGGGGTGCCCGATCTTCTCCCAAATGAACCAAACACTTGTCTCAGGTCAGCTTCTGGGGGACCCACTAATACACCGGAATGGGGCCGACAGAAAGAGATGAGTCTGATGGGAACAGAGGGACAAGCAGAGCCACCAGGGAGGGCTTCCCTGGGCAGGTGTCGGTGACAAGGAGTCAGGTATTGTATCTATCCTGGGGTGTAGGAAGCTGCCCAGATGCCACACCTGGAACACCTATTAAGCTCACTAGGTGGCCTGTGAGGGACAGGAGAGGGGAGACCTGGCCCCAAAATCTGTCCCTGCCATGAGCTGTCCATGTGTGTAGTGCCACCCCCCCAGGCAGTAGGACAATCAAGAGCATCGGGTGGGAGATGACCTGATCCAGTCATCACAGGAGCCCAAACTGGGAAGGGCTTCTGCCATCCTTGTTGCCACCCCAAACTGGGCTAGGTCCACTCCTGGGGGGCCTTTAAAAGGCAGCGGGGGGGCAACCTGGGTGCTTTGGAGGCCCAAATTCTGACTGCTCCCCCATTTCAACAGTGAGAAACTGGAAACAACCTCAATAAATGATCAAGGGCATGCCGACATAGCAAGCACCATGCCGCTGCAGAGCTGTGCAGGGCAAGGAAACGAAGGACAGAGTGTACAAAATAGCAACCACACGCATTAGTACGTGTGCAGAAAAACACGGCCTCAGTTTCCTGCTGTCAAACCAGGAGGGAGAAACCTCTCCAATAGAAATGGCACCATGCTGGTCCATTGTCCCCGACTCCCATAGAGCCACCACCATGGACTCCTCTCATACTGCTGTGAGTGCAGCCAGGCGCCATGTGACCCTTTAGTGGCCAGGCCACACTGGCAGCTCATCCTGAACCTCTGGCCAGCTAAGCTCCCCACAGTCTCCATACACAGCTGTCAAGTCTGGTCATGCCCAGCCTAACAAATAATATTCCTTCTTCATCACCAAGGGATCCAAAGCACATCACAACTGATTTAGGCCATGAGAAAGATAAAACACATAACCTAACACAGCTACTGTTTTGATATTTCTTTTTTTCTTTAACCAGTGATTATGGTTTCAGCACAGTTGTCAACAGAGCACACTCATTTTTATGTCTTTTGCATTCCCCCTTGTTGCCTATTTTTAGTGGCTGCATCAGGAGGATACCATTAATGGTGCCCCGGTAGTTGGACTGGTTCTTTCCAATTTTTTATTGTCATCAGTAACACATTTACAAACACCTCTGTGCAAAAAATATTGTCTGTATTTCAGATATTTTCCCTAGGACTGGATTCCTGGAACGACCACAGGGAACTCATTTTCATGGCTCTTCAAGCTGACAAATTTCTTTAAAAAGCAATATGTGCATTTGCATTTGCACCGTGTGAGTACCTATTTCCCAACACACTAGACAAAAGGTCTGCCTAACTAGAAGGTGCAAAAGAGCCGCCCCTGTGCAAGCCCTCATTCCTCTGTGCCTGTTCCCTCGCTGTGTTTGTTTACTGGTGTCTCTCTTTTTGGCTCAATCATCCGTTCCTGTTGTGGTGGACACTGGGGTGTACCAAGACGCCCAGCCTGTTGCCCCAGCAGCAGAGACTGTGCTTAGCTGGCAGCCTGGGGCAGTTGCCCCTTCAAGGACCACTCTTCTGGGCCAGCCCACAGCCCATGACCAATGAAGGAGGAATAGAGGCCAGGACATCCCAGTCCAACTGAGAACAACTCCCGGGGGGGG